AATTATATACAAATTAGGGAATTCCTTTGATACACACGCCTTGTGGGGTGTACCATATGCACCCTACTAAGTATTTTTCCAGTATATATTACGTAACATTCTAATAGAGATACGATAATTTATAATTCAGAAAGTTATGCATTTTGTGATTCACAAATATTTTGATAAAAAAATACGTAATATGTAACAAAAAAACGCGTAATATTATCACAAAAATGTATAACTTTATTTCTGAATCACAAACATAACTTTACTAAAAAAAATATGTAATATTTGTCACAAAAATACGTAACATGTAAGCCAAACCAAACCATGCCTTACCAAACCAAGCCTTAGGTGCCATAAAAAATACATAACATGTACCCAAAAAAAAAAATAAAAAAAAAATAAATAATAAAACTTTTTTTTTTTGAACAGAATAAATAATAAAACTAGGGCATATGATATACACCCTACGTACCGAAAGAATTTCCAACATTTTTTATTTTATTTTTACAAACTATGCTCATTAAAAAAAATTTAAAATGACATACAATAATAAAATTTTTAATTTTAAAATAATATTTATTTTAATAATATGATTAGTGTCATAGTAATGATTATGAAATAAGAAAGGGATAGAAGATATATGTTCTATATATATATATTAGCATATACCTATGTATGAAGGCACGGTGTAAATAATATTAGGATTAGAAAAAATAATTATAATCCCAACACTATTTAAATTTATTTTTTAATTTAATAAAATCACAAATTTATTATAAAATTTTAAAATTCTCACAAAATTTCTTAGGAAAACTCATTTTTACTTATTTAATAAATAGCTAAATAGATAGATGTGCCTAATATACATACAATTTCCACACATACATACAATATTGTTTTTGCTTATGTAATTATATGAAAATTGTATGTATGCCCGTAATGTCCTAGTGTATTACGGTCATACACACATTGTATGAAAATATGTGTAAAATATATTGAACAAAAATGAGAAAATAAAAAAAATAAACAAATAAAGAGAAAAATAAAAACGGGAAAAAATTAAAAAAATAAAAAGAAAAGGGAGAAGAAAACGAGATCATGAAATGAGGGGTGTGAGAAAAGTAAAAAAGTAAGAGAGAGAGAGAGAGAGAAGCAAGAAAGTAGAAAATGTATATGTAGAATATTTTTAAAAAAACATATCTCAATCATTGTTTTATAATTTGAACAAATCTGAGCTATCCAAATGTCTTAATAGGACAAAAATATGTTAAAGATTAAAAAATCATCATGCTTTATTAAAATATGTTGAAAATTCATATGAGGTCTGAATTTGTGAAGTGTATCAGATATTCAATATATTTAAAAATAATAATTAATTGTTCAAATTTATTTAATTTGTGGACTAAAAAATTCATTTATATAATTTCCACTACATACAGTAAAATCTAACTCATAATCCTGGGATTGCAGACCTTTTCATATAATATGAATAAAAATATGTGAACAAAAATGAGAAAATAAAAAAAATAAACAAATAGAGAGAGAAAAAAATGAGAGAAAATAAAAAAAATAAAAAAAAATGTGGGGTCATGGGATCATAGAATGATAGGTGAGAAAAGAAAAAGTAAGAAAGAGAAGCGAAAAAATAAAAAATGTACATGTAGGATATTTTTTGAAAAATATATCTCAGTCGTTGTTTTATAATTTGAATAGATCTAAACTATCCAAATATCCTATTAAAACAAATGTGTGTAGAACAAATTCAAAAACTATCCATCTTTATTATATAGATATAAAGTCTACTCTCCAAGAATTTGAAACAGAAACTGATCCAAATGGTTTAAATTTACGTTCCATGTAAAGTTATCATTGTAGGCCATCCTGAGAGCAAATCTTAACCCTTGATTGTTAATTCTCAGTAGAAATCTGGATCTCAATTTCTGAGTTGCTAGAACTATTCCTTAAAAAAAAAAAAAAAAAAAAAAAAAAAAAAAAAAAAGGAAGAAGAAGAAGGAATTTACCAATAAGTATCATATACAAAGTTAAAAATCCATATAATCCCAAAACAAAATACTTGTATTAATTAGTCCTATATATTTTAAATTGTTACCAAAAATCCTATTTTTTAATTTTTTTTTTTTTACAGATGCTTTTACATCCACTACCGTCGGACTTCCGTCAAACGGTCACCGGAGACTCGTCGGAATGTTCAACATCATCGGGAAGTCGCTAGAGTATCCCTGGAAAGTTGTCGGAGTATTGCCGGGAAGTCGCTGGAAGTTCACCGGACTATTATGAACGCCAGTGGAAGTCACCGGAATGTTCAGAACGTTTGCTGGACGTTAAGAACATCATTAGAGACCCACTGGAATGTTCAGAATATTGCCAAAAAAAAAGAATAAATGGAGAAATTAGAGCGAAAAAACATAGCAAAATGAGCTAAATATTGATAAACTAAAAGAAAAAAAAATGTAACAACAAAAAACAGCAACAATGGGAAAAACATATATTATTTTTCAATTTTTGTAGGGTTTAAGCGAATAATCTCCAATATTGATCAAATTAAAAAAAAATAAAAAATTTGAAACTGTAAAATGTTACAGTTTCAGAGAAAAAATCTATTAAGTATTTATCCTTATTAATCAAATTGAAAAACATGTTATGAAACTGTAAAATTTTACGGTTCTAAAGAATGTTATGAAACTGTAAAATTTTACAGTTCTAAAGAACGGTATGAAACTGTAAAATTTTACAGTTTTAAATCATGATTCATTCCAGTACCAAAAAAAATTGAAACTACAAAATTTTATAGTTTTTACCGCCTGTAACTAATACTCAAAAGCAACTTATTCAGAATTTAAAAATTTTCTCCATTAAAATAGAAAAATAGACTTGTGTAACAGAAAAAATGTAGAAAAATTGAGAATTCGAAGGAAAGAATAGATATAGAAAGAATATTGTACTCCGGCAACTATTTTTTATTTAGATCTATTCGGATCTCATGTAGATCTACTCATCTTCTTCGACGTCGGTAAGGATGAAGTCACGAGTTGATATCGATGGTTGGTGGTTGCTAGTGAACCCCAATCAATGGTGATCGTCGGTCACTGGTGACCATGTATTAAAAGAGAAAGAGAATAAGAAATGTGTGATCACCGGTCATCGTCCATGACAAACAAAAAGAGAGGAAAACGCAGAAAAGAGAGAGAGAGGAAAACGTAAAGAATGAGGCAAAAAACAAAGAGACAGAGAGAGAGAGAGAGGGAGGAAAAGTAGGACTTTTGCATCTACTCAAAAAGTTGTTGGATTAAATAGTATACACATATTTCAAACAAAATACTTAAAATAAATCAATATCAGTTTAGCAAAGAATTTAAAGATAATAGTGTGCCTATCTAATCGCATGTAGGAATGGCAACGAGACGGGGCGGGGCCGGGGATCACACTCCCCATCCCCGATCCCCGATGGTGAAAATTTCCCTGGCCCCGGCCCCGATCCCCGACAGGGAACCTATCACCCTCCCCGGCCCCGTCCCCTAACGGGGATCGGATTTCCCCGACCTTGAAAATCCCCGGTCAAAAAAAAATTCCCTGTCAAAAAAAAAAAAAAAATCCTTGGTTTCCAGTTTTCTAAAACATTTTTCAAAAAATTCTACTCTCTTATTTTCTGTGTTTTTTTGTTTTTACTGAATTTTTTTAATATTTTAAGCAATTTTTTTACTTTTTAGACACACCTAGCATAAATACACCTAAAAAGTAAAAAAAATTGTAAAAAAAATCTTTTAAAAATTCACTAAATACCAAAAATATAAAAAAAAAAATACAAGAATTCAGTACATTTTTTGTATTTTTTATGTATTTATTAATTTTTTAAAATCTTTTTTCACAAATTTTTTACTTTTTAGATACATCTAAGTAAGGTGCATCTAAAAAAGTAAAAAAAAAATTTAAAATTTAAAAAATATTCACTAAAAACAAAAAAACACAAAAACCAAAAAAGTCAATTTTCAAAAAACTTAATCCAGAAAACTCAAACCAAACACAGTGAATAGCTCTCATTATCATCAACATCAACAACAACAACTATAGTCTACAAAATCATCATCAATGATCATCATCATCAACATCAACAACAACAAAATGAATACCTATATCTATATCTATATCTATATCAATGATGTTGATATAGTGTATATCTATATGTATACATATATATATATATATATCAAATCGGAAGAACACCGACCAGTGGTAGTAGATCTCCGTCGCGGCTCAGATCTGAAAGGAGTTCTTCGTGGCTTAATTCTGGATGGATTCATCTCTCACAAAGAGTAAGAGGAGAAGAAAGAAAGAAAAAGAGAGAGAGAGAGAGAGAGAGCTTTCATTCTTGACCATTGAGTCATTGACCAAGTCTTGGGATCTGGAGGCTAAAATATATATATAATACAAAAATGCTTTATACCCCCACTGGGAGTCGACCCCCAGTGAGGTGGAGGCCCATGATTGGGTGAAAAAAACAGTTTTTTTTTTTTTTTTTTATGTTTTCAACGAATGAGATTTTCTGGTTGTCAGCTAGTGGGGGTGCGCCACCTCACTGGGGGTGCAACCCCCACTGGGGGTATTTAGCAGGGTTGTATATAATATATCATAAAGCCTTAACATATATATATAATATAATAGATAAAGCAGCCTAAACGTATATATATATACATCGGACTGATCGGGGATGTTCGGGGCAGGGCCGGGCCGGGGACGGGGCCGGGTCTGGGGAAGTTATCACCGTCTCCGGTCCGAAAATTATTGGGGATTAAATTTTTAATACCATTCCCTGCCCTATAGGGATAATTTTCGGAGAAAACCCATTCTAATTAGGATCGGGGGATCGGGTCCCCATCGGATCGGGTTTAAATTGCCATCCCTAGCAGAGAATCCTGATCCGATTAGTTTTGGTCTCACTTGTTCAGGAACTCGCGAGTGTGTGACGGTACAACTGACCCAGATTTAGGCCCAATATGTGGAAAAGACCATTGGGTCTGAGCTTCGGCCCATCAGGCACTATCTACATTACTGATGCATATTTTGGGCTTTTGAAGGTAGGGCCTAATGGTGGGCTTGCGACCCAAATTGCCACCAGTGCAAAGGGTGTGGATTTTCACCTCCTTATTGGTGTGGATGTCCACCCAATCACTGAGACAGTTTATTTCGCAGACGCTAGTACAACATTCGAGCTAAGGTAAATTCTTTAGGAGGTTGCCTCTCTCGTCCAGTTTGCAGACTAGACAGTATTGTAAAGTTTATCGCTAGTTCCGTTTTAATAATTTAAATTGTTTATTTTAATGAATACTTCGTATATTTATTTATAAAAAACAAACGGTTTAAATCATTGAAACAAGACTCATAATAAACTCTACATAGACCCAAAGCAACATTCTTTTGTCTAGATCATGAATTGGAGGGAATCCTCCTCCAATTCTTTATTCTTTCTCGAGCAATGCTAGTGTTGGGATCTGGGATCCCGCCCAAGACCTTATAGAAATTATTCCATGCAGAAAAACACACCCACACTCAAGGAGACACAATATTTAACGTGGTTCGGCCTCAATGCCTACGTCCACGGGAGAGTAGCCGGTTTATCACTATAACAATGGAGATATTACAGAAAGATTACAATAGAGGAGGAGCGCACACTCTCCTCACTCACACACTCACCCGTCTCCCTCGCTCACACCGAGGGAGACGGTCTCTCCGCCTCACATATCTCACTCTCTGTGGCTTGCTCTGCTCTCTCAAACCCTCCCCTTAGCCTCCATTTATACTCAATCAGAATGGAGATGGAGAGGCTGGCCTTGCATATGGCCAGCTATCTTGTGTGCTGGCTTCACATGGCCAGCTCATGTGTGTTGGCTTCCTAACATGGCTAACCTTGCAACACATGGAGGATCACCCCTCACATGGGGTGATGATATCCCACAAATCACCCCCTCAACCCATGTGAGGTGATCCACAACACACATTGCTGCTAATCTTGTCACGCCCAAATTCAACATAGTTTGCATCTCCTCACTGAGACGCTGCATCCCTTGAAAGCTAGAGATAATTCACCAGAGATACAAGAGGAGGAGGGAATCCTACATCCTCAACTCAACTCACACCACTCTCTGATTTGGAGAGAACCGCTGCTCCTATCTCCTACAGATCTCTTCCACGCTTCCTGTCTCGGATGTCTTCAGCATAGTCTGCATCTCCTCACTGAGATGCTTGCACCCCCTGAAGCTAGAGATAATACACCAGAGATATAAGAGGAGGAGGGAATCCTACATCCTCAACTCAACTCACACCACTCTCTGATTTGGAGAGAGTCTCTACTCCTATCTCCTACAGATCTCTTCCACGCTTCTGTCTCGGATGTCTATACCTGCTATGCTTGAACTTGCGCAACCAAGATATCCGACACCCCCTGATTGGATGTCCTGCACCCCCTGCTGGGATGCCCTTGACTGTCATACATTACCGTGCAACTCCTTGCATGATGAACACGGGAGCAACTAGAAAACTTCAGAGTTTGACACATCAACATCCTCAATTTTCCTTGCTCGGAGCTTATTTCTGAACAACCAGCCTTTGCTTTCTGCACTTCAGAACAACTTCCCAGCGATCTCATACGCCCGTTGTTTGTGCTGCAATCCCTGATGTTCGGTTCTGTCTCACTTGTACGTCCGTACTGATGTTTGACAGTTAGCCCTTCTGCCAAGACAACTTCCACCGGTCTGTACAAGTTACCACTATGCAACTCCGTGCATAGTGCTCGCACCCATGGCTTCTGGTCTCCCTGCATCAAGCTTGCTTGAGAGATCTGCATCAACTCTATCATCTGCTGCCATGGAACTAAAGAAACCACCATAGGGAAATAAGACTTGCCACTCCTTGGCACGCACTCCTACGTTTTACCTGTCTCAATTTCTCTGTCTGGAAGTTTCTGTGAACTGTCAACAACCCGTTGCTGCACACTCTTCTCGCGCCTCTGTACGACACTCTAGCGTACCCTTGCACTGTTGCACGTCTGCAATTGTACTTCTGCGCTTAGTATGCTCCTCTGCAACTATTGTTCTACATGTCCACATACCATTAGTACCTTCTCGTATACAGTAGCTCTAACAGCCATAGTATTTCCCTGAGCCTGTACTGGTTGCCAAATCATCTATCCGTCGATGAATGGTCTTCTCTTTTGATTGAATCAGATCCTCCAACGAACTCCGGAGATAATCATTTCTGCAATCCTCTGATCTCCCCTGACCAATCTTGATCTCCCTCGATCTGCCATTTAATCAAGCCTGATCTCTTCTGGTCTTCAATAATCTATCTCAATATGTATCTAGTTGTCCAATCTGGTCAGAATCTGCCCATTCTAACCTATTCAGTAAATCCGCAGCGTTCCACAATATCCGGCAACCTTTCTTCGACTATTGAAGATGACAAACTCCCATGTTTTGACAATCTTTCAAAACCGTTCGGAATTTCACTATTCTAACCTCGCGGTTGCGTCCGGAGCGGTCCGTTTAGCTAGAACCAAACTTCGCTGCATTTCTGGGGACCTCACTGAAAACTATCCCCGAAAGCTGGGCCACACCACAATTTTCTGAAAATTCTGGGCCAAATTGCAATTTTCAGAAGTTCAAGGAATATTCCGTGTACCAACGAAATATTCCGTCCACTGCCCCTGACGCCGTCCGCCACTTTAATCTGCCTTCTTTTTACAAAAACTTCGTCTCCAAAATCTGACCGTACAGATGTGTCCGGAATACTCCAAATAGTCGGAAACCACTATTGGATCACCAAAAACGGACTCCAAATGGCTTCGATCTAGCCAAAACATTTTGTACCCCTCAGATCTGCGGCTGTACCTTCGCCGCAAAGCACTGGATCCTTCCTCCTGCGGCTGCACCATTGCCGCGCAGCACTGGATCTTTCTTCAGAGTGATGACGTGGCGAAGACGTGTCTGCCACGTGGCGCGCGTGTTGATGGCGCGTGTATGGCACGCGCTATTCCCTCAGTCGTCGTCTTCCTTGCGCCGCGCGTGGGGCGCGTGGGTGAGACTGGGACCACGCGCCGGTTGCCTGAACGGCGCGTGGTGGCGCGTGGCGAGACTGGGATTCACGCGCCAACTTCTAGGGGCGCGTGAGGGCGCGTCCGGCCTCCGTTGGGTGTCTGTTTTATATTTCTGGACTCCTCTTCTCGAGCCCTTGCTCCTGGTGTGCTGAAAACCTGATTTCGAGCAACTTGATTTCTGGGCAGTTTCAAACAGCACGCTGTTTTTGTTCCGAAACGCCACCAACGAGGCTCTGATACCACTTATTGGGATCTGGGATCCCGCCCAAGACCTTATAGAAATTATTCCATGCAGAAAAACACACCCACACTCAAGGAGACACAATATTTAACGTGGTTCGGCCTCAATGCCTACGTCCACGGGAGAGTAGCCGGTTATCACTATAACAACGGAGATATTATAGAAAGATTACAATAGAGGAGGAGCTCACACTCTCCTCACTCACACACTCACCCGTCTCCCTCGCTCACACCAAGGGAGACGGTCTCTCCACCTCACATATCTCACTCTCTGTGGCTTGCTCTGCTCTCTCAAACCCTCCCCTTAGCCTCCATTTATACTCAATCAGAATGGAGATGGAGAGGCTAGCCTTGCATATGGCCAGCTATCTTGTGTGTTGGCTTCCTAACATGGCCAACCTTGCAACACATGGAGGATCACCCCTCACATGGGGTGATGATATCCCACAGCTAGGAACACGCAGATATAAGAGTGAGTCTCGTATGTGGATCTCACATCATATAAGAGTCACCATTGCATTATGTGAAACACATCTATCTTCTTTCTACGTTACTTAAAAACCAACTTCGCAAAAGATGCTCAGTACTTGTTCAGTGTATTTTTCTGTGATTGATTTTATATTATGTATGCTTATTGTTTTTAGTTGAACTTAATCTAAAATCTTGAAGGGGAAATTGCACTTCAGTGCATGTCTCCAAAAAATTTACAAATAAGGGACAAAGTTTATCAATTTTAATAATTAAAGTTATAATTTTTTTTTTTTTTTTTTTTTTGAGTTTATAAATATTTTGTAAACAATAATACTACAAATACAAACTTAACTACTTAGAAATTATTCAGAATGATTATCTTGTGATTCAGATTTATTCTACATAGAGACTCCAAAGTACATAAATTTAATATTCACCACACAACCACCCACCTAGAAGTCTCGGATCCCAAACTTTTCCTTTTGCAAAATACCGCTTGCAATTTTCTGAATCTTGAACTTGTCCAATTTCATATATTTAAAATCTGTTTAAACTCATCAAAATTTACAAATGTATTGCGTTTTTTGCAAGTCCATGTAAAATTGAGTTTATGTAGTTGGATACGAGTGCTGTTAGGTTTGAATAAAAAACTAACAACAATTAATAAATAAATAAAACCACGACCCTTGCCATCATCACTTTCTCCACAGCTCACCTCCCTTGCACCACCACTACCTCCACCAAAGAGTTCAATAAAATAAACTGATTAGTGGAGTTGATTTTTTCAACCCGTATTTAATTGAATCTGATAGGTTTAAACTTATTTATTATATTGATTGGTTTGAATTGCTTACAACCATGTAATTAATCTAGTTTTACGAGGTGTACTACATGTGAATTTGAGGCTAAGTTTGACAAGTCTTAAAAAAGTCAAAAAATTAAAAAATTACTTAAAAAATTAAAAAGTTATTACTATTCATCAAAAGTCAACAATTACGGCTCCCAATAGTAATTTTCTCTTACACATTAATTTATACAAATTTTTAATATATATTTTTCCATAAAAAGTTAAAAAGTTAACCCAAATATTCATATTTTCAACCAACTTTTTAGTCTAGAAAAAGAAAAAAATACACTTATTTAAGACACCCCAAACAACCCCATTTGCACTTTACCTTTTTCTATTTCTCTCTATTCGGTTGTAAAATAATAATAAAAATAATAATAGCTGACAGGTTTGAATATTTTAATGCATGACCTCTCCAAACTCGTAAACCATACACATGTCACATGTGGATGCAGAAATATAACTCAACCAGGCTTCAAAGGAGACTCAACAGGCAGGCTAATGAAATACGATCCGAAAACAAAACAGGTCACCGTGCTATTAAGAGGGCTAGCCGGAGTAGCAGGGCCAGCAGTGAGTACTGATCAATCATTCGTGCTCGTCTTAGAATTCCTCGGCAAAAGGGTTCGAAAGTATTGGCTCACAGGGCCGAAAGCCAACACCGATGAGATCGTAATAAATCTTCCTGGAAATCCGAGCAAAATCAAGAGGAGTGCATCAGAGGGTTTTTGGGTGGCGGAGAACATGATAAGTCAGCAGCCGACGCCATTGACGGTGGCTCAAGGTCTGAGGATAGATGGGAATGGAATGGTGTTGGAGACTGTATCTTTTGTAGATCAGTATTTCAATACTTCTATCACTGTGGTGCAAGAGCAGAGAGATGCTTTGTATGTTGGCTCTCGTTTTGTTGATTTTGTTTGTGTGTTCAAGAGGTGAAAGAGAGACACATAGTGATAGATCTATCTGTCTATCTAAAATTATCAACGAGAACTACTAGTACTAAATAAAAGTTCAATGGCTTTATTGGGTTTTCACAACCCAGTGAACTAATACTTTGTTTCGCAGAATTGTGGTTATGTTACTTATTCTTTTTATTTTTTATTTTCTTAGTTATTTATTTATTTATTTTTTTAATCAGCAAAAAAAAAGGAAACTTTATTGATAAACTAAGAATAATACATCCATAAAGGAAAATGATAAATGCAAAAAGTATCATAACGAAACAAATCAATCCCAACATGGTTGGCACTGATAAGTCCGCTCAATCATATGTTAGCACAATATCAAAAGTTGGTGAGTAACCAATACAAAAATCAACCACACCCAAGATAATGACTAAACAAACCCAAAAACATCAGGGAAATATCCCAACAAGTGGTTATGTTACTTATACTGTGGTATTAATAATGTTAGGAACATTAATTAGTATACTAACAGTATATTCATTAAGATATACGGACCAAACTCTTTCGTTCTCTAATGTGAAAATTTTGTTGAAAAAAGAGAACTTTTGGTGATAAGATTTTGAAAATGTCACTAATAAATATATTTTTAAGAACAAAAGAATTTTGTGTTTTGAGATAAAAATTTTGATATAAAAAGAAAATAATTGATTACTAAATATTTAATTTTGTCACTAAAACTATAACAATAACATTTTTAACCATTAAAATATTTCATCTATAAATTTTTATCCCTAAAACTTTGTAGTGACTATATACCTTTTTTACATGCATACCGTAGCAACTTTCACAGATAAAAATATAATTTAGTTGCTTTATAAATTAACAAAATCTAGTTCATACACACCAAATAATAATAATAATAATAATAAAATCACCCAATTTTTCCAAATATATGGGGCACTTGATTCAAAAATCTAAATTCGAACTTCTTTTACCCAAAAGTCTATACGCTAAATTATTAAGTTCATAAGGACACATTTCTGGATAATGACTAAACTATTCCCATATATTTAAAACCACCCCTGTTCTTTTACCTATCAAACCCCCCCTCTCTCTCTCTCTGTGTCTGCAGGGACCAAAACGAGGTGACACATTGAGCTTCTTGTGGCTCGTCGACACCGTCACAGCTCTATGTGTGTGTTGCTTGCTCCGCCGTCTCCTGCCACTCACATATTGCATTGCATGCCGTCGCGGCGACTGCGGTAGGGCACGAGATAACCGTCGACGTCGACCGGACGGAGTTGTTCTGCTGCTTGTGCCGGGACGATCCTATGCCACCACCATCTTCTCTCTCTCTAGTGGTTGTTATTATTAGATCTGATTTATGTGTAATTCAATCTATCTGAGGTACTTGGGACTTGGAAGATGATGCTAATACTATGTGGAACTCGATGGCTAATTGTATGAGGAGAATCTCAAGGAAAGTGCTTGGAGAGTTGAAAGGAACGGGACCCAGCTCTAGAGAAACTTGGTGGTGGAGGGAAGAGGTTCAAGCGGTAGTTAAGGCAAAAAAAATACTTTAAAAAGTGGCAGAAGAATAGAACTGAGGAAAACCTTAAGAGCTATAGATTGGCTAATAAGAAGGTCAAGAAAGTAGTGAGAGAGGCTAAGTTGAAAGCTTATGATGACCTATACACTAGACTAGATAGTAAGAAGGTAGAGAGGAGGGTATACAAACATGCTAAGATACATGAGAGGAAAACAAGAGATTTTAATTAAGTTAAGTGCATCAAGAGTGAGGACTCTGAGGTATTGGTGAAAGATGAAGAGATTAAGGAAAGATGGAAGAATTATTTTGAGAAACTATTAAATGAAGAACATAAAGGTACAGCAATAGGGGAAGAAATAGCCAGTAATACGATAAACCAAGACTATATGTTCTATCGCAGGATTAGGAACTTTGAAGTGGAGATTGCACTTAAGAAAATGAAATCAAATAAGGCTTTAGGACTCGATGATATCCTTATTGAAGCTTGAAAATGTGTGGATAAAAAGGAAGTTGTTTAGTTGACTAGGTTGTTTAGCAAAATTTTGTTGACTAGGAACATGCCAGATGAGTGGATGAAGAGTGTTTTAGTGCCAATCTATAGGAATAAATGTGATGTCTAGAATTGCAACAACTATAAAGGAATCAAGTTAATGTGTCATATAATGAAAGCGTGGGAGAGGGTGATGAAACGCCGATTACGAGATATATATATATGGAGTGTAAATTTAGAAACAGTAATAATGAAAGCAGAGGAGAAGTGAAGATTGAGAATCAAGAACTGTCTAAGAGTGAACATTTTCGCTATTTAGGATCGATTATCATAACAGCGGGAGAGATTGATGCAGATATGACCTATAGGATTAAGGTGGGATGGTGTGAAATAAATGAATACCCACTAGACTAAAAGGTAAGTTCTATAGAACGGCTATTAAACCAGCTATGTTGTATGGGATGAAGTGTTGGGCAACCAAGAAATAACATGTAGATAAGATGAGTGTGGCTGAGATGAGGATGCTAAGGTGGATGTGTGGTAAGACTAGACAAGACAGAATGAAGAATGAGTGTATTTGGGAATGTGCCAGAGTAGCACCCATAGAAGATAAGTTGAGAGAGAATTGATTGAGATGGTTTGATCATATTCAACAGAAACCAACAGAGGCAATAGTGAAGAGATGCGATGCTGTAACGGTAGATAGAATTGTTAGGGAACGAGGTAGGTTTAGATTAACGTTGGCTAGCGTTGTAAATAGATATATGAATCTACTTAATTTAACTAATGAAATGGCCTTTGATAGGGCCACGTGGAGAAGAATGATTCATGTAGCCAACCCCATTTGATGGGACTTAAGGCTTGGTTTGGTTTGGTTTGGTTTGGTTTGGTATCTCATTTTTTGTGTGTAGATGTATAAATGAGGTTGTATTGTATGGTGAAAGAGAGAGAGAGAGAGAGAGAGAGAGAGAGAGAGAGAGTACAGCAAGGTAGATAAACCCTATGATGATCTGTGAAGATGATGATGATCTTCCCCCTCTCTCCTTCTCTCTGTATCTGAATAGTAATCTTTTTTTTGCAGAAGAATTTTTTTTTCTTGTTTTTTTTGCAGATCTATTCAAAAAATTAAATAGGTAAATTGATTTTTTTTTTTTTTTTTGTAGCTTAGCATGATCAAACATGATCTGATGCTTAGCAAGTCCACAACCAAAAAAATAGTAAATTAGGCTTATAATACTTGAGCAAAGACTCGTCAATTACCTTCAAGCCTTCTTCAATAACATGAATGAAATCTTTTTGTTGATAGACAATGTAATCATCGAATTTGAATTTGATTTTGAACCCCAAAGAAGGGTTAATATTATGAAATGCTTCTTCAAGCGTGCAATGTGAGTCATCACTCTCAACATTTCAACTTAAAATCTTGCCATCTTTTTTTTTTTTCTCGAGAGAGACTTGCCCACCTTACCAGGCTTTCTTTGAGGGGCATGGCAAAAAAACTTGAACAAACTCAGTTCTGTCACCCTCTTCCCATATATAGTACCCTGAAATTCACAATTCTAAATTTGATTAATTGGCATCTTTTAAAAAATTAACCACAAGAATTTCTAAAATAATTGCGTATGAAAGAAAAGAGATATAAGATCTTATATAGTCTTTGGAAATGATGAAGTCGTCGTGGAAAATGATAGATTAGCCATCTTTGGTCACCTACAAAAATCACATTCATTTTACTTCCCCGTTTGAGGTCTTGCCTCAACTCCATAATATATTCAGCTCTTTCAATAAAAAAATTAAATAAAAAATAAAATTGTTACACTAAATAAAAATTAAACAAATTACACTAAATAAAATTGTTACACTAAATAAAAAGTCGACAAAATTAAACGAATTACCTGATACTGATGGGCGCCCAAGAGGGCCCAACCTATGGATCGGGGCCTAGTTCACATCCTAGTGATAAAAGCCCAATAACTCTGAGAAATCAACACTAAGCCAAGACCAATAACATTCGAACACTTGTCAAGCAGAGGCCTAGCCACATAAGCAAACAAAGATCCTACAAAGTTATTGCAGCCATACATCAACCATTAATGAGGCTCTCACAACATTAAATACGAAAACCCCTTCACGAAGAAGAAGACAAACTCACCATGAACGAGCTAGAATATAGACTTTCGGCCAACACGACAGTCTGGAATGGACAAGGAAATGATGAATAAAGGATATAAGGAAGCTTCCGCAGATGCGTTAAAGGTTAAGTTCTTCGTCCCGTTCTTCCCTCACTACACAATTAATCTATTCTATTCTAACTTGGTCGTCGAAGTGTTCGTTGGGGGATCGTCTCCCCTCTTTGGACCTTTTTGCAGGCACGCTCCGAGGACATTAACGCGAGAAGACCCATTCGAAGCGTGGACCAACCTGACCCATCCTCCTTTGGAACCGTTACATCATCAGTTGGCGCCATCTGTGGTCAACTTCAACTCCGATTCACAGTTGTGTTGATTGTCGCTGGAGGGGACCCCGTCCTCACCCATCTTCTACGTCCGGGTGGATGGTAACGACCAGGTCCATGGCTTTCCAATACAATGCTAGTAATCTTGAAGCTAAGTCCTCCAACTCGAATAACCCGCATACGTATTTCACAGAATTTACCAACAGTATCAATCGTTTGATCGAACAAAACCAAGCCCTGATCGATACTTTACTATAGCGTGATTTACCCATTCCTCCTCCACCACCACCAATAGTTCCCCTGAACCCAGAACAAGTCCACAATCACTATCAATTCCCCCCACATGTGTCCCAAGGAATATATCCATCCTTTGCCCCACGACCTCAACCATCGAACCTTGATGGTCTATACCTTTCTCCTTTCGGCTCGCTGCTTCGGCAAGAGACGCCACCGCTTTTCCATAACCACCTCTGTAGATACCCCATTTTTGATCGAACTCAAGACTTTGACGTCATTGTTTGTACACTCGATGATTGCGTATGTTTGTGCTCATTTTGAGCACCCAAAGGTCTTAGCTGAGCGCCTTGTCTTTGGGCCTCTTAACACTCTGTGTTTTGGCCTTGTTTTTGTGCCAAACCTTGATCTCTCTTG